GAGCCAGGCAGATCTCTGTGAGTTCGAAGCCAGCCTGGGCTACCAAGTGAGCTCCAGGAAAGGCGCAAAGCTACACAGAGAAACCCTGTCTCGGAAAACCAAAAAAAAAAAAAAAAAAAAAAAAAATGATGAAAAAGCTATAATAGCACACAAGAAACTCTTAGCAGGAAACAGCTGATAATCAAAAGCCAAATATCACCAAGGCTCCTTGAGTCTCAGCTTGACCTCTGGAAGGCCCTTGGCTTCTCCCAGGTATTAGCTTTGTCATAATCAGCTGAAATCCCACTTCATATACTTTTACAGCTTGCAGCATAGACACTCACTGACACTCCTGTAAGTAACCTGAATAAAACTCATGGGTTCCCCAACTTGGACTTAGAAGATACATATGCTTACTGTCATCAGTTCCCACCTGGGACAAATAGAGGTTTGATCATGTCTCTCCCTAGGGACACTGTCACACAGTACTCAGGTACATAGTCATTTCTAGGTCAGGCTGGCCTACAAGAGACCCTTGCCTCAAAGAGAGGAGGAGACAGAGAGGAAGGAAAGAAGACAAATGATAAAGAATAAAAAGGGAAATTATTCAGATTTTAGCTCAATGTGGATCCAAAGGATACAATAAGTCCTCTAAAACCTGGTCTCTGAGGTGTCAGCCAAGTGTGAGCCCTGCCTGTCTCAGCAGGCAGGAATGGACAGAATCTCCACGGGGTTCCAGTCCCTAAAGCACTCCATGTCCCCACTCGTTCCACATTATCCCCTGAAAAGGACTCCATCGCAGAACATGCTAATAACAGATTTTAATGCATAAGGCACAATATAAGGCTGGAATTATTAAGCATCATCATACATAATGGGCCCAGCGGGCTGAGCAAAAGCAGCAGGAACACTGGCCCCCCACCAGGCACCCTGGAGAGCCCCAGAGGGGTCAAGGGTCATCCAGTCTTTGGCATGGTGCCTGGGGGCAGGAAGTGACTAGCATGGTCCCAGTAACCCTCTGGGGGCACTGCCTTCAAGGGGCAGTTCTTTGGTCTGGAAAACGTCAGTGCAAACGTCCAGAGGTTGAATTCTGAAGCAGTCGGTGTGGCACAGTGCCCCAGGAATGGGCAGTTTCTGGGCAGTCCTCACTCTTCAGGGACAGCACGTGGCCTTTTTCTTGCTGGCAGTTAGGTAGAGGTTTTTGTCATCACTGTTGATGCCTGGAAAAGGGTGGGAAATGTATGAATGAAGCAGGATTGGAGGTCCCTCCCCTTGCTCTCTGCCACCTCCAACCCGGGAAGTACTTACGGACAACATCCCCAATGCGCCGAGCCCCTGACTTCTCCAGCTCAGCAAGGACATTGGCCTCAAAGGTCAATGCTGCCACACGGAAGAAGAATTCCCGGACATTCTCACCTGACATGGGGAGCAGAAATGGTTGCTCAGGGGAAACAGTATGCCTAGAACACTGGACCCAGCTCCAGATGTGGGAGTGAGAGGTGAGCAGGCACACCGCAGAAGGCTGGGGTCCCCAACTCACCAGTGAGGGAGGACACTGCCCAATACTCAGCCTTCATCTCTTGGGCCACCTTGAGGGCATCCTTCTCCATTAGGGAATACTGAGCAGGAGTCTGTGAGAAAATCGGCGTCAGATTGGTCGCGGGTCCCCTCACCAAGTTGGGAAGTTCCCCCACTGGTACACTCACACTCAGGTCCTTCTTGGAACCCACAAGGAACAGGAGCACGTTGGAAGGGTCATTCTCCTTGAGTGCGTCAGCGAGCCACTGCCTGCCACAGATGGTGGACAAGCAGTAAGAAATGAGTGAGCCCGACAGACCCCATCCACCATCTTCCCAGTAATCTCCAGTTACTAGCTCTGGGTTTTCTCTTTGCCCCCCCACCTGGATGACTCAGAGGATTGATCCCAGTTCCCCATGTATTTGCTGGCAGGTGCTCTAGCACGCAGCTACAGACACACCCTCTTTTTCTGACCACCTTCTCGACACCCTCCCTGGACTCTCCCACCGGGTTCCGGGCACCCTCACATACTTGGTATGCTCCAGGGATGCCACGTCATTCAGGTTGAAGACGATGATGATGGCTGTAAGAGGGACAGAAACAGCTCCAAGGCTGGCAGAGAGACAGTCGCCTGAGGCTCGTTTTCCCTACCCCCCCCCAGCTCTACTTGGAAGCTCCATGTGCTCGCTCCCAGACTGCCCGCATTCCAGGGCCCAAGGCGTACATACCTTGGGCTCCTCGGTAGTAGGTGGAAGCGATGCATTTGAACCTCTCCTGCCCAGCAGTGTCCCAACTGGAAGACAGAGGAGTAGGACCTAGCTAACAGGGTGGGCGCA